ATTACATAAATGACATTGATATTTATCGATATAATAAATAATTACGACTGGATTCAAGATGGAAACATTGATGAAAAGGAACTCGTTGAATCAATAGTAAAGTAAAACATAGAGTTAGAAGGTATAAAAGCCTTGAGGCTTTCTTACTTGGATGGGCGGAATAATGGTAACTGCTACCAAGCGGAAATATTCAAAGAATTATTCAAGACTTATCTTAAATCGTCACTTTGATGCTGCAACCATAGGTTTTCATTTCTCTATGTATACTAAAGCATTATAAAATACGCGAATGTAGATAAAAGATTTGATAAAATATACTTCTTAAATCTACACTGCATTGTCAGACATTCAATGCAACACAATTATAATTCTATAGAGAAAAATATTTACTAAAATTTGTTTATTTTAATAAAGACTGTAGCTTTATTATCCTGATATTTAACGAAAATGACTCGCTACTATGTAGTTTAATGACTTTATTTGCTAGCAGGATTCGTGGACTTGGCAGAGGTTTGCTGTAATGAACACAATAAAAGTGATAAATCCACTTTATTGTCTTTATGATACTTTAATAAGAATATATATTCACATAGGGAATACATTTCATCAATTGTTAGTCTTGTATACGAATTGGATGATGAAGGAAGGTCAGTAGCGATTCAACAAATAGCAATTAAACTCTTAAATAGCAAAATTTAAACGGAAATTTCCATTACAATTAAACATTAAATCTATATTGTTACTAATACAAATTAGAAAACTTTAATGTGTTGGTTCAGTTTTTTTGCGTTTTATTCTATAATAATAGAAAAAAAAGTATATAAGAAAGCACTAAATAAGAAGATTAACGTGTGAAAATGTAATCGATTATAATTAATAAAGATTGTTTTTTTTTTTATTTGAATAGTTAACTACAAGAAATCGATTATAATAAAAAGAAACTAGTAGTGACCTTATTAAACAACCTCTATCGAACAGAAGATAGCGATTATCATGAAGCGAAAGCGATTATCGAATTGTGATTAATAAGAAGAGCGAACATTATCAAATAGCAAATGATTAACAGCAGGAGGGATGTAACCGAAAATTAGAAGAAACGTAAAAAAAAATATTAGAAAACAAATAACCGAGTTATTAAATAGATGAGAAACGAGTAGCGAGCTGATGAATGAGATGTGCAAAGCGAATAGAAAAGCTAAGAATTGCAATTATCATCATCTAGCAGATGGAAAAGGAGTTAAAGCTCCATAAAATAAAGATATTCATCTAAGGGGGAAAAAAAAGAACTTCATTAACTTTTTACAAAACCGTTTCTTACTGGAAACAAGTTATGCCCTCAGAATTTTAAAACAAGAATATACAATAGGTTACAGTTTATATTTAAATCCACATCTATTAAAATTTTAATTTACTTTGAAATTCATCAAGATTTTTTAATTTTTTTTTATTTTACTTTAAGTAATATCTACTTCTGTATAGTTTAATATAAAAGACATTTTTAAAAAGTTATTTAAATTTCATAAAATGATTAAAAACTATCAAATTTCTCTGGAAAGAATTTAATTGCATTGCTAAGAATAATAATCAAGTCTGAAAGATGAAATTATTCTTTTTTCTTTTCTAAGAATATTTTATTTAAATTAAATGGAGAAAAATGAGTTTGTGGTATGAGTAAATTTATATTAAAAATGTATTTGATATCGAATTACAAGATTTATATCTTGTGAACAAATAGAGAACATTTATTATATTTTGTTGATAAAGTGATTGCACTTTTTAAGATATATTTTTTAAAATATTTTTTATACTTATTATTAAAAACCTTATTATCAAAACGATGATGAAATACGTGTCATTTCTATCTTTCAGTTTTTATTTAACACAAATTTGATATATGATATTTCATTTCTCCATAAATTTAGCGAATTTTAAATACAATAAAATCATTTTTCTTTATATTTTATTTATATTTTTTAAAAAAATCACGATTTATTTAAATATTTTGATGATTTATTTATGTAAAATTAGTAAATATTATGTCGTAATTTCAGTAAGAAACGTTGCTAAATGCATATAAAAAATCAATATATATATTTAAAAAAACTAGAAATAATAAAAAAAAATAACTAATTTATATGTTTAACATATTTTTGCAGTTACGAAAGATTTTATTTTGTTTTTTTAAGATTATAAAAAGATAAGAAATATTTTCTTCTTGACAAAACTAATTATATATGTTGCTTTAACAAATAGATTTGTCAGTTTTTATTAATTAAAAGTAACTCTGATAATACAGTTGTTTCTAGATTTAAAAAAATAATAATAATACTAATTTTTAATCAACTTTTGCTAATTTTTAAAAAGACGATTTAATCACTTTCTGTTAATTTAAAAAAATAATTTTAATCAATATAACGAGAGATTTAATCAGATTTAAAATCAGTTTTTAGAAGAAATGACCTTAAATTTAAATTTAGTAAAATTAACAACATTATAGAAAGATTAATACATAAAAAAATGTATTTATTTTAAGAAAATTAACTTAAGAAAATATAAATTTAATTCGAACAAAATATATTTGCCTTACAGCACTAGAAGAATGGAAGAATGTTGCAATTTTCTTATTTCTAATACATTCTTATGGATAAAAACTATACACAGATAATTAAATAATATTTTTTAAGATAAAAGAGTGTATTGTTATTTAAGATAATTTAAATTATTTAATATTTGAATTAATAATGTTAAATAAATCAGTGTAGATGATGATGTACACGTGTAAAATAATGTACAATATACAGTAGCTTATCATTTAACACGAAAAGATTCGTTTTATCTCTGCTCAGATGAGCGGAGAGGCCTTCGTTATCAAAGTAAAGTTTAATTGTATTGTTTTACTCGAATAAACTTTCATTAATCTTAGCACGAAATGCATTTATAAAGATNAATATTTATTTTGTTTATAATTTAATATATGTTTTTAATTAATTTAAACTTTAAAAATAAATTATATAATTTATTCAAAGTGAAATTATTATATAAAACAACTAATTTATTACGTAATTTAAAAAAAATCTGTTGCTAAAACAAGAAAGTCTGAGTGCATAAATTTTGTTATTGTTTACATAGATTAAGAGATGTAATAAAAAGTTTCAAATTCAGCAGAAAATCTTAAGTTCTACTAAAATTTAAAACATTCCAAATATATTAAAAAGTTTACAAAGTTACTAAATAAACTTTCAGTGTATAAAATAAAAATGAAAAGCTTTCAAGAAGAAAAATAAATATTTTAAATTGTTCATTTTACTAATCTCTTAACTACTCAATACTTTAGATGATTAGTAATTAAGTTTTGATCTTTATTTAATCTTATTTTATTTTTTTATGTCAGTGTTTACTTAAATTTGATTCCTCTTCTTTATGTCCTCAATAATTCAAGAACTTCTATTCAAATAAATATTTATTAAAATAACTATAAAAATTGTTCTTAATAAAAATAAATGTTAATAATAATAGAAGAAAAATAACATAACAGACTACAAACAATTCCAAAGAAAAACACGAACAACATTAATAAAACATAATAAACACCACCCTAAGTCGTCCATAGAAAGGTTGATTTTTTCTCGTAAAGAGAGAGATTGAGGCACCACAGATATAATAAATCTTCATTGCGAACGAATACGAAAGCTGAAAGAAATTTTGCACCAAAAGAAAACAAAAAACATCACAATTATATAAAGTTGTAATTGTTGCAGACGAAACATTACACTGTTAAACACCTACACAACATTGACGTGGATCTACACCGTATACAAGTACATTATCAAACAATCTTGAGTTGTACTGTAGACATCCTAATTAGTTCGGTCAGCGTTACAGTGACGAATTGCGTCAAACTGCTGACTCGCAAATGTGTCTTTGGAGAGACGGAAGGATTCATGATTGTCATACAAGACCAGTTATATATACTAAATTACACAAAGCATATCGTAAAAAATAGTATCCACAGACTATACTTGTAGGAAATTCCATATACGAAACTATGCAACAGATTACATCGAATTGAATGTTTTTAAAACAAGCTGACTACTTACGTTGGCATAATCAAATAGCAAAAAATAATACATGAAGTGTTTGCAAACAAATAGAAACTGCCGCACAGTTAATAACCATACTATAGATATACACCTTAGACAAAATCATACTTATAATAAAATACAACACACACAAAATACAGGGTGTCCACTCAAACATCTATCCAGGTGCAAACAAAATCTTTCCAGCATTAGTTAGGTTAGGTTATGGGCTGATCCAAATACATTGGATATTACGTCGCCATGAAATGCACCTGTATCGCTGCTATCTGCAATTATCGTAACATATAGAGAATGCTAAACGGAAATTTGAATGATGCAACATGATATTAAATTTACAGTATGACGGACCACAACGTCTTCAGCACATTTTATGGATTGACGAGCCACTGTTTCCCGGAATGGAGAGTGTGGCGTCACAATGTGCACCAAAGCGTTCTGCAATGATGCCCACGACATACGTGACACCAAGTGCATTTAATCCTAAATATCTAGAATTGAATTTGGAATGACGAGCTTCGTGGTCCCATATTCATTGAAGGTACTCTGAATTGAGGCCGACATTAAAATATCCTAAACACGACTGCGGGCGAATGGATTGATGATTTGCCATTGTCTACAGCAGGTTTGGTATTAGCAGAATGGCGTCGTATTCTCGAACAGATGTGCGTCAATGACTCGCAGAATGGTTTGGCAATCTGTGGATATGAAAACACGACCTTGTTTCATAACTACCACGTTCCGCAGGCTTGTCCTCTCTGAACTTTTTCCTATGGCATCGGTGTATGCTGTGTATCCAGCAGAGCTACATGATGTTGAGAAACTGGAGAGGTGCATAGGTGACGCCTGTGAAACGGTGTTGCCAGGAATCCTACGTTACATTCATAATTCCATACTCAGCAGTCTACACCCTTGTATTGCTGTTGGAGGCGATAGTTCAGAATATGTTCTCTAACAAAATAAAACTCACTTTTTTTGTATGAATTTCTGAAATGTTGTCTTTGTCTTTTACAGTCAGAGATTATTTGTATGTTAGGCTAAATCGACTTAAATTAATTCTCTTCAGTTATTTTATCGCTGGAAAAACAGGCACCAAACAAGCATACATTGATGCAATGATGGAAAGATCTCTTTACGCCTTGATGTTTAAGTGATCATAAAATATGCTAGAAGATAAAATAAATAAATTTATGATATTGTGCAGGTAATTAACAATTTAGCATAAGTTTGAGGATATTTTTAAGTATGAAATTAATGTCTGAGAGAAAATAAAATATTATTAGAAAGAATAAAATTAAAATTTATATAAATTTATGATGAAAACGAAAAATAAAGCATCTAATCAAAATATATTAAATCTTCATTAATACATTTAAATGTTGAAAAAATTATTTATTATATCTAATTATCTAATTTTATTATGATACTGAAGTTTGAATACTAAATAAAAAAAAAAAAATGTTCAAAAATGCAAACTGCTCATATGAGATTTTTGATATAATTAATTAATTATTTATTTAATATATCTTATTAAATAAATTAATAATTAAATTGCAGAAACAAACTAAAAGTTGATAATATGCAAATAACATTAAATCATATCAAATAATATGAAATGAATCGCCTAATTAGAATGGGCGATAACCGTTTACCGAAATTAACCTTTGAATATAAATCTCACGAAGAAAAAATCGTGAAAAGAAAATAAATTAAAATCGTGAAGTATTTCTCTTCATACTTTGAAAGTTTCTGATTTAATTCTTGCTTCAAAATTTTGATATTATTTAACAAAATATCATCAAATAGCCATTCATTACATAGCTTCTATAGCAGTTTAATGTTATTTATAAAAGAAAATAATTTAAATCTAAAAAAAATCATCAATAAAAATTCAAAAAAATAACTCTTTCTGCCATCTGTTGATGAAACTTAGTACTACTAATAAAACTCCTTATATGCGTTTTTTATTATTAATAGAAGTAATTTTTATAAATTCAACGAAAATAATTTCTTATAATGATAATTTTTTAATTAAAAAAACTTTAAATAAATATTTTATTTGTTTCTCTTATTTTAATTGCCATTTATTTATAAAAATAGACCATTTAAAATTAATAGAAGAAGATCAGAGATAAAAACAAAATCTATTTATTTTTAATAACAGAAAAAAAGTGGATTTTTTTAACATTGACAATTGTAACATCAAAACACGTACTTTTTTGCTGCGTCATTTCCTTTCTCACTATTACATTTCCGATGTCATCTTTCGATAGTTTTATTCTTTTTTGTTCTATTTTCAATGTGATGGAAGAAATGTCATGTTAGAAGTTTTTCTTATTAAATTACACTTAATAATATATATATACGCGCACAAACAACTAATAATAAAAAGACTTTTAAATATTTTTTTATACATTAAAACATTTAAATAATATTTTTTATAAACTTTAAGTGATAGAAAAAGTTTTCTTTTAACACACACTGCGAATTTTTTACCCAAATATTTGGCCTTTTTATATAACTTTTTCTTATATATAAATAGGAAAAAGTTATATAAAAATATCCTACAGCCTACGATTATCCTACAGCATATGAGCGTTACATATAACATTTTTTTAAAAATTTCTACTAAAAATTTAACGATTATTTGAATTAAAAATTAAAATTGATATCAATTTAATAAATGAAAAATTAAGAAATAAATATTATAGAAATGAATAAATCAGTTTCCAATTTAATTATTAACAAGCGTCAGATTTCTATTATAATTACTCATTAAATTAAAATCAAATAATATCGTTATGAAAGGAATTGTCAAGAGATTGCCTTTTTAACTTGATTAAATATTAATTCGTTTGTCTTCCTAAATCGAATTAAATATGTTTGTATAATATTTCCATAAGAATAAATTATGATTGATGACCTTCTAAAGAAATGAATAAAAAAAAATATAAGTTTATGGTGGAAGCACATGTCAATGGTTTTTAATATTAATCATTGGTTAATAATTTATCTCATCAGTTATCTAAATCGATTGTATAATGCTGAAGTGAATCATAATAGTAATTATACAAGTTAATGTAAGGATAATCAATTGTTGTGATTCTGTTAAGTAGCAACAGAGAGCTTTTACAGTTCAACAGTTATCGACTGAACATCAAGATGATAATGTGATTCAAATATACTAATGCAAACTATTGTTTATAATTTTTAAATATATCTATTCAAATATCAAATATACACATATAAGTTAATGTTATATGGGATATTTTTAAAGGTTAATCGATTTAAAAGTAGTATTATGTAAACAATATTAAATCGATATAAAAATAGCTTTTAGATATTTTTACCATTTGATAGTTAAAAANCGAAATAACAGGCTAGAAGCGGCTATAATAATAATAATAATAATAATAATAATAAATTTAAGAATTTAAAGTAAAATTAATTATATTTATTTTAAAATGTATTAAAATAAGTATTTTTAAAGTTAAATTTATTAATATCTATTTAAATACGTATTTTTGACTAGAGGAAACATTCTGGAAATGATGTAATATTAAGAAATCGCATGATTTAAAGCAATTTTTTTAATACAATGTAAATATTTAAACTTTTTATGTTTCTTATTTTTATAATAAATAATTTTTTTCTATACTATTCGTAATACCGTATAAAGTAACACATGTTCAACATTTAAATAAGTAATACGTTTACTTAAAATATATATAATGCAATTGAGTATACATTACACTGTACGAAGATTGAAAAATATAAAATGAATATCTGTAATCCTTATATCATTTGTTTACATATTATCTGATAATTGGATTACTTTACAGCATGATTGTAATGCATTAATGTCGTGCTAAGAGTTTAATATCGTTGTATCAATACAAATTGGTATAAAATTCGTATTAAGTTTCAGAATAAATTATAATATTTATTATTTCTTCTTTAATTTTTAAAGATTTTTATCATATCTAAATGCATAAAATAACGAGGAAAATAATATTTTTTTTTTTTCTTAAATGTAATAAACATTAACAAGAGCAAGCCAGTCTAGAATAATAAAAATGAAGTTTAAAAAAAATTACGAATAAAAATTTTTAACATCGTTATTAATTCATTAATATTTAAAAACTGACAGAAAAATTAAGACGATACAAGGATTACAATTCTAAATATTCATGGTAATTTAACTTGGTAAATAAGACAATGCACGTTTATCTAAGAAGTTTATCCTGTTGAGAAAAATTTTTTACTTAAAAGTTTATATCCCAAAATCTAATAAACATGTCAAAATGAATTACATAATACATAAAATCGGTAAAGTCACGTCTGATATTTGCTATTCTATTCATAAACCGTACTAATATTCTATTATATGAAAATCGATGCATTTATTTTACAAGACTGGAAGTAAATGATTATTTAGTTCTAAATGTTATTTTAATGTTTTTCCAATTCGAATCATAAAAGTCGAAAATCTTTTTATATGTTTGCTTCTATCATACAAACTATAACACGAGTAATGATGTAGAAAACATTAATATATCATTAGAAGTTGGTTTAATTAATATATTTGAAATATGTAAAATTTACATAATTTATATTTCAACTCAAAATAACCTTTCAAGATTTAAACCAGTTGTTGTTGTTATACTTCTTTTTTAAATATTTCATATAATAATATATTCAATTGATGAATTTTACTTTTATAATTGATAACAGAAATTTAAAAAATTAAATAAAATATATTTTACAATAAAAATGATAAATTCGTTAAATGAATTTATGTAGAAAATAGCTTACTTTCGCTAGAATTAACGAGAAAAATGTTTAAAATAATAATAATAAATTCATTAAAAATCGTTGGACAAGCATTCTAAGTAACGAATTAACAACAAAATTATTACATTCTTATCAGTTAATTGCTTTAAAACTAAATGTATAAGATATAAATTTTAACTTTAAAAAAATAATAACAGTAAATATATATTTTTATAATGTATTTTTAAACAATTACGAAAAAGAAATTTTCTGCATCAACTAAAATTAAACGAAAAATTGCGTATAAATTCTTCGTTTCGTGAATGAATTCATATTCGTTACACACATAATCAATTCTCTTGACAATCTCAAATTGTATGTTTAATTTTCTTAATCACCAACTGCAACTAATTTACGCGTGTTAATTCGCTGTAAAGTAATCTATATGTTAACTATTCTATTAGAATAGCTCAATCATGTTAAAATGAATTTCGTAGAAAGAATGAAAATATTTATAATTGAGTTTAGTTATATAATACCGAAAATGATTATAATTTAGATAATGTTATGAGATTTAAAGTCTAACTCCTAATGATTCTGTTTTAATAATTATTTTTCAGCAATGCTTATTTTATTTAAAAATAATTATAGTTTGCTTCTACTAATAATTATCATTTTACGGTTTAGGCGTGGAATTGTGTTAGTTCATAATATAAATAAATGTGCTATTTTCTTTTATGTACATTATAAAATACTTTATTTTGTAAAATAATATATAATCTTTAATTAAAAATGATTAAATCTTATCAATTTTTTAGTGTTTTTCTCATTATCATGTACGAGAAATCGCGAAGAAAATAATTATTTTGCGAATAAATTAAGGTTAGATATAATAATAATAATAATAATAATTTTAAACAAAACGATTAACCGTTAATATAATTATATTATCTTCTTTGAAATAAATTCTATTATATAAAAGACGAAGAAACTTACTTTAAGCTATTAACGAAAATTAATTTGGTAGAACATCTCGAATATATGATTTGTCTTTATGTCATCTGTTAAATTGATAAAGTTAATTTTCGGGTGTAGAATGGTGATCAGATCTCTGTTCTAGTTCTTACTTGATTGATATATACGCTGTCAAACACAACTAGCTTTTGGGTTTGGTTGACCCTTGCTCCTAGAGAATTGGAGCAGTAATTGGGAATGAGAAAAAGGAATGAACTTGAACAGAGATGGATGCACAGAAGAGAGTAAGACATAAAATAATTTGTTATTTTAATAGTTAAAATGTTAGGAGATTATTATAATATAGATTTATCACATTTCGAAATTTTTATCAAGGATTTTAATAGTTTTTTTTTGTGTGTGTAAAATATCTAAAAATGCTTTCGAATTATGGGGAGAACACTGTATGATTCATCT